ATGCAGAGAAGGCGGGGGCCGTGGCAGGAATTCTTCCTCCCCTGGGCCTGGACACTGGGAAGGCCTCCCACTGAACACAGCACTGCCTCCCTGCTATCTCTTCCCCACCCCAGGGAAACAGAGGTGGCTGCTGGGACATGAGCAGGACTCAGGGGCTCGGGGCTACTGCCGGCTCAAGACTGGCTCGCCCACCTCAGCTACGCCTGGGGGAACAGGATGGAAAGGCCCTTGGCAGAGCCCTCGACGTGTCTGAAGCACCATGTCCTCCCAGGATGGACAGTGAGGCGGCTGGATGCTGGGTTGAGGGGCAGGCCTGCTGTCTTAACCAACAAGGGTCCCTGGGCAGCCCCCTCACATTTCCCCCCTCACCCGTTACACATAGGGCTTCACGCTGGACCAGGGGGCTTGCCCTGGGGAACCTCCACCTGACTGTCTGGAGGCTGCTGTGGGCTCGGCAGGAATGGTAATGGCTCTGACTTCACAGAAATACGAAAGGCACCAGAGCTGAGGAAATGAGCCCCCGGCTGTTGCTGCAGACGGGGTGTGTGGGGTCAGGACCACGCAAAACGAGCTGCTTCGTCTTGCACAGAAGCGCATCCCCCAGTCCCATTTTCAGCTAAGGGCCGACCTTGGCAGGATGCCAGGGATCTCAGCAGGGTCAGCTGGGGCTTCAGTGTCACCCAAGAACAGGGACAGAGGGTTAATCATCGTGACCCAATCAGGTGTGACCATCAAGGTGGTAGCGTTTTAACCTCACGAGGAGAAAAGCTCAGGATGAACTTGTGGTCCGCGTGGGGACTGAGCACACCCCTCTCGGGCGTGATGGAGAAGGCCGTCTCGCGGTCAGGGTGGTACTGGATGCTGTCCATGCTGTACGCTTCTCCAGGCATGAGGGACTGCAGGTTGGGCTTCATGATCTGCCAGTGGAAGGCCAGCTCCACGTGCCTGTGGGGGCAACTTTGACAGTCGGCAGTGGATCCAAGGCCATGTTTCTTCTCTGTCAGGACCAGGCCCTCCCACCCCTGTCTGGCCTGGCCGGGCCCCTGGGGTGAGCAGGAAAGGACCCAGGAGCAGGGAGTGGCCAGGTCAGCCTTCAGACCCTTCCTATGGGGGAGCCTGGGTCAGAGAGAACACAGGGGTCAGGGCGTCCGAGCTGGAGACCTCCTAACACAGCCCCCCTGCGGCCCCCCACCCACAGCCACCGGAGGTTAGGGCCACAATGACTCAGGGGAAACGGTAAACACGGGGAATCACAATCTAACCATCCGGCAGGCCCTCCCAGATACCAGGAAAATTTTCTGTGGTCTCTCCTACCACATGAGAGTTTTTGCCATGTCGACCCCACCCTCTGCCTCTCCAGTTTGGGCCTCCCAAAACTGCTCTGTCCAGAAAGATATGTGCTCAGGCTGCCAATAGGAGTGGTGACAACTCCATGGTGGCAGGAGGGGCGGGACCCCAGCCCCAGGGCGCTGCTGACAGCAGGGGTCGGCGGAGGAGGGGATGGCAGGTGACAATTGCTCATTGTGCGGTGCCAGAGCCTGTGTCAGGCCTGGGTCACATGGGCAGCCTGGCCTGGAGGCTCCCCGAGGTCTGTCCTGGTGTGATGGCCAGGCTCAGAGGGGTCACGGAATAAATGGCAGTAAGAATGGAACCCACAGACCATCATATCTGATCTTGGGACTTGGGTGGCAAAACTGTTCCTGGCTGAGGGTGGTCCAGATGACCTACAGCAACACTGTCCAGTATGACTTCCCGTAGCGATGGAAATCTTACGTATCTGCTCAGTCCAGTATGAGAGCCACTAGCTACACATGTGGCTACTGAGTACTTAAAATGTGGCGGTGCCACTGAGGAAATGAACTTTTTTAAAATTTTTTTTGGGTGGGAGTAGGTAGGTAGGTTTATTTACTTATTCATTTTTAACGGAGGTACTGTGGATTGAACCCAGGACCTTGTACATGCTAGGCATGGGCTCTACCACTGAGCTATACCCTCCACCTACTTTTACTGTGATTTCCATTTAAATAGGCACACATGGCCAGAGGCTACCAACAGAGCAAATCTGGATCCTTCCAGCCTTTGCCCAGATTCCTCCCTGGGACCTCAGGCCAGGTGAGGAGGAGGGAGGGTGTGTGCTGGGGTTCCTGCACAGGGGTCACTCACGTGGCATTTTTAATAATCAGGAGTTTGCTGGCCGTGGACTGGAGGTTTTCAGGCTCAAAGCGTATGAAGTGCTGGGCTGTTAAGTCTGTGAGCTCTCCCGGCTCCGGCTGGCTTTTATCACCAGAAATATAGATCAGATCCAAAGCAACCAGCTGCCCAACTCCTGACAAGGTTGGGGAGTGAAGTCTCACTAGGGCTGAAATCGGAACTCTGTGGCCCAGGGCTGTCACAGAACCCAGTCCACTACCCACATGCAACTGGCCTTGACTGTGACCCCGGGAAGTGCACACACAGGGGAACAGGGAGCCAGGGGCACGCAGATTCACGTCCCCACACTGTCGCATAGCAGTGATTTTGATAACCTGGCACAAAGCAGGCACTCAACTGCCTGTTGAGTGAAACTGGACGCAGGGCAGGTGGATGGATGGAAGGAACAGGGGCATCTCAAGGCAAGTCGGCAGGATGGCCCTTTTGATGCTACAGAAACCTAGGGGCACCCCTGGTGGTTTCTGTGTGAGTCATGGGCAGTTCCCCAAAGGAGATCAAGGTGAGTTTCTTTTTTTTCTTTCTCTGAGCCTTCCCTCATATGGAAGGTTTTCTTTTTAATTTAGTTTTGTTTTTTTAAATTGAAGTATAGGTAACTTACAATGTGTTAATTTCTGCCACACAGCATGGAGATTCAGTTATTTTTATATATATATATATATATATATATATATATATATATATATTCCTTTTCATATTCATTTTCATTATAGGCTATTACAAGGTATTGAATACAGTTTCCGGTGTTATACAGTTGGACCTTGTTGTTTATCTATTTTGTATATAGTAGATTGTATCTGCTAATCCCAGACTCCTAATTTATCCCTCCTCCTTTCCCTCCTGGGAGTCTGCTACTGTTTTGTAAATAAGTTCATCTGTGCCATTTTCTAAGATTTCACGTACAAGTGATATCATATAGTATTTGTTTTTCTCTGACTTACTTAGCATGATAATCTCTAGGTCCATCTATGTTGCTACAAATAGTATGATTTCATTCTTTTTTATGGAGGATGAGTTTCAAAGTGACATGATAAAAGACTTCACCTCAGGTATCTCTCTCTCTTACTAGAAGTCCCCTTGGGACAGTCCTGAAAGTCACACTGGCTTGGGTCTCTAAGGTCTGACCAGAGTGAGAGACCTGGAACCATCCCCTCTGTGCGCCCCTACCCACTGCCAAGGCCGGTGTGGCAGCTTCCACTCCCCGCCCCCAGGGGTGCCCCCAAGCCCACCTGTGGTCACCACCTCCTTTATCTGGCAGTTGTCACACACGATGATGAAGGTCTGCTCTGCCTTTCCTGGGCTGGTGGGGAGGAACAAGACCTGTGGAGAGAAGGGTTGTCCTGGTGACCCCCATTAAGGGGCATCCACCTCCCTTCCCACTCCTCTTCTCAGCCACACACCCTCCCCCATCCTCCACTTTTCTCCCCACTCCCTGCTGCCTCCCTAAGCCGAGGCTTCGCCATCAAGGGGCATGTTGGAAGGATGCAAAGAGAAAACTCACAGAGGCTGCAATACAAATGACTCTCAAACAACACGTTTAACCTCATTCGTGATAAAAGAAATATCATTGCAAACCACCTGCAAGAACAGTTTTTCACACCTCACACTGGCAAACAGCAGAGTTACCTATCATAAACACAATGATGGGATTTAAAAATTTTCTTCAAAATAATCTAGAGGAGCAGGGCAGGGTTTCGTTGAAAGTATAAAGGCGATAAGGCTGGCCAAGAGTTGATAAATTTTGAAGCTAGATAATGAGTATGTGGGTGATCCTTAAACATTTTATTTCTGTATCTGTTTTAAAATGTCCATGATGATGATTTTTTTTTAAAGTGTGATAATACACTGTATGGGCAAAGGTGTAAGAAAACAGGCTCCCTTATACATTGCTGTGGGAAGTACAATCCACATG